ATGTGTTTTTTTATGGAACCACAAAAGTCCCCAAATAGCCAGACCAACCTGAAAAAGCAAAGCAAAGCTGGAGGCATCACAAATCCAAACTTCAAGCTGTATTACAAAGCTGTAGTCCTCAAAACAGTATGGTACTGGGACAGAAACAGACACATGAAACAGAGTAGAAAACCCAGAAACAACCCCGCAACTTTATGGTGAATTAATCTTCGACAAAGCAAGAGAATATCCAATGGGAAAAAGACAGTCTCCTTCAACAAATGTTGGGAAAACTGGAAAGGAGCATGCAAAAGAATGAAACTGGACCACCTTCTTACACCATACACACAAATAAATTCAAAATGCATGAAAGACCTAAATGGGAGACCTGAAATCATAAACATTTTAGAGGAGAACACACTTAGTAGCCTCTTTGACATTGGCCACAGCAACTTCTTCTAAATATCCCTCTTAAGGCAAGGGAAACAAAAGCAAAAATGAACTATTGTCAAGAGAAGAAGCTTCTGCACAGCAAAAGAAACAATCAACAAAACTAAAAGCAACCTGTGGAATGGGAGAAGATATTTGCAAATGACATATCTGATAAAGGGTTAGTACCTCAAAAATATAAAGAACTTATAAAATTCAACACTCAAAAAATGGATAATCCAATTAAAAATGGACAAAAAACATGAACAGACATTTCTCCAAAGAAGACACGCAGATGGCCAACACGCACTTGAAATGATGCTGCACATCACTCATCACCAGGGAAATACAAGCCAGAAGTTCAATGAGGTATCACCTTACACCTGTCAGAATGGCTAAAATCAACAACACAAGAAACAGCAGGTGTTGGAGAGGATGTGGAGAAGGGGGAACCTTCTGGACTGTTGATGGGAATGCAAACTGGTGCAACCACTGTGGGAAACATGGAGGTTTCTCAGAAAGTTAAAACTAGAACTACGCTACGATCCAGCAATCACACTGATAGATATTTACCCGAAGAATACAAAAATACTAATTCAAAGGGATACATGTACTCTGATTAATAGCAGTATTACCTATAACAGCCAAATTATGGAAACAGCCCAAGTGTCCATTGACTGGGGAATGGATAAGGAAGATGTGGTATATCTATACAATGGAATTTACTCAGACATAAAAGGAATGAAATCTTGCCATTTGCAATGACATGGATGGAGCTAGAGAGTTCTATGCTAAGTGAAATAAGTCAGAGAAAGACAAATACCCTATGATTTCATTCATATGTGGAATTCAAGAAACAGAACAAAGGAGCAAAGGGAGAAAAAAGAGAGGCAAACCAAGAAACAGACTCTTAGCTATAGAGAACAAATTGATGGTCCCCAGAAGGAAGTGGGCGGGGGATGGGTAAAATAAGTGATGGGGATTAAGTCATCACCTGTTGTGATGACCATGGGGTGATGTATGGAAGTGCCGAATCACTAAATTGTACGCCTGAAACTATATTACACTGTACGTTAACTAACTGGAATTTGAATAAGAACTTAAAAAAATTAATAACATGACCTTAAACTTAGAAAGCAGACATCAGTTTTCTGCACTGGCAGTGTTACAACCAGTGAGACTTTCCCAAGACATTATTATGACTAATTAGACCCTTCCCAATGTCCCACACAAATTCAGCTGTCGCAACTCACTGTATTTCAGTGAGATAATAAGACAAACTCACAAAGATGAAATGGACAAAGCCGTTCACCAAAGAATAACTATAACAATGGAAAATTGGAAACAGCCGAAATGCCTACACTTAGAGGGTTGGTTAAATAAATTATGATAAATCTCTATAATGGTATACCAAGCAGTCACTAGAAATGATAATGTAATAAACATATTTTTGAAATGCAGGATGCTCACAATTTATTGTTGAGTGCAAGTTAGATTAGAGGACAACAAGAGAGTAGCTAACCCCACGTGGTAGGATTCAAAGTGATTTTTACCTAATCTAAACTTTCTTCCGTATCCTTTTTTTCTTCCAATAATCTGGTATGCTATGGATGGTCAGCAAGGATGTGAAGCTCGTTCTATTTTAGAAAAACAAATGCAAACAACTGACCTGGAATTTTTTTTTGCAGTAATTATGACACAAGGTTAAGTCTTCATTATTTAAAGAGCACCTACAAAACTTGCCAAGAAAAAACGGGAGATCCTAGAGGAGTGAGCAGACAACAAGAACCGATCGTTCACAGCAGGTCCGCTTGTGATCAAAGGAGAGTAAATTTAAATAATCAGATGACATTTTTTTGTTTTTTGCTTGTGAAGTTAGCAAATGTGGTTCACTGCCATGTTTTTTATAATACAGAAAAATTAATATCAGTAAGTTGTGGCATATTCCTTTGGTAGTGTTAAAAATGGAAGGTTAGGTAGGTTATGTTGTAGCCTGGAAAGGTATAACGTTTGAGTGAAGGAATTAAGAGTTACGGTTCTTAACTAAGGAGTACTAGCAATTAGAGTGTGGGAGAGAGCAACCCCTGTGAACTTTGGTTGATACCTTGCTGGTTATAAATGTGGATACAGCATCTGACACAAACCTAGTACGTAGTGTTGTATTCAGTAAGTTTTCGTTGAGCGAAAGGATGGTATATGAAATACAGTATACTAAAGGTTGTGTGCGAAGAAAGATTGGATGAAAATCTAGCAAAATGATTCGTGGTTATGTTAGGGTAAAGGGAATATGAGTAAATTCCCCCTCCCCCCATTTTCTATAATTTGATGGTATTCTGTTTATAATTAAAATAATTATATAAACTCAATCTCTCCCTTTCTAGGTGTCCTAGTTTTACTTAGTATCTAAAAAATAAAATTTGAGACTTCACTGCATTTTCCCCCTTTAGGCTTCCACTCAGCCAGACACGTTGGAGTCAACCTCAATTCTTATCTTTTTCTCTGCACCTAACACCAAACCTTATCAGCGAGTCCTGTTTGCTGTGCCCTTTAGAATATATCCAGAATCCTGTCATTTCTCACTGTCTCCAACTGCTTCCATTTTTATCCCTGCCATCATCAGTCTCCCTCTAGAATATTGCAATAACCTCCTAAGTAGTCTCTCTTTCCACCCTTGTCCCTTTCCAGGACATCCTTTAAGGGGAGTCTGGGTGGCTCTCGGTTAATTAAAAGATCTAAAACTTCAGGTCAAGATCTCACTAGGTTGCAGGTGACTTGAGACCGGCTCAGTGTCTGTGCTGCAGCTTCGGTCCTGAGACCTACTTGGGATTCTGTGTCTCCTTCTCTCTCTGCCCCTCCCCCGCTCATGCTCTTGTCTCTGTCTCTCAAAAATGAATAAACATTAAAAAAATATTTTTTGGGGCGCCTGGGTGGCGCTCATCGGTTGGCGTCGACGCAGCCAGTCCGATCTCTGTCTGCGGTGGTTGAGCCTAGTCAGGATCTCGAGCTTGATGCTTTCCGAGACCTGGAGCCTTTCTGATTCTGTGTCTCCCTCTCTCACTGCCCTCCCCTGTACTCTGTCTCTCTCTGTGTCCCAACAAAAGAGAAAATAAATAAAAGCGTTGAAAAAAAATATTTTTTAATTATTTATTTTGAGAGAGAGAGTGATGAAGAGAAGGAAGAGAGGACAGAATCGCAGGTTCTGCACTGTCAGCACATAGCCCAGTGCGGACTACCACTACACGGTTGAGATCTTGACCTGGGCGAAACCAAGAATCGGTACGTTGACTAACGGACCACTGCAGGACCATTGTCCTGTTATTCGATATTCTTTTATTATTATTATTATTTTTTTTTAACATTTATTTATTTTTGAGAGACAGAGTGTGAGCAGGGGAGGGGCACAGAGAGAAGGAGACACAGAACAGGCTCCGCAATCTTCCGAGCTGTAGACACCAGAGCAGGCGAGATACGAACTGTGAGATGTGACTTCGGCGAAGATCAGGCTTTCGACTAATTCAATATATTCTTAACATCGTAGCTGAAGTGAATATAAGCCAGGCTATGTCACAGCACTGCTTAGAACCCTCCAGTGATCCATCATCTCATTTAAAGTAAAAAACAAAACCCTTAAAGCAGCATGCAGGTATAGAACGCGTCTTCTGCCCCCAAATCCCCGAATGCACACCTTCTGACCTTATTTCCTACCCTTCTGCCTCTGCTGTTCTCTTTGCCTAAAAACTCCTCCTGTGGATATTCACAAGGCTGCCTCTTCCCCCTCATCGCTAAGGAGGCCTTCCCCCCACACCCCCCATCCTCCCCCACCCACACAGCCAGCACTCTTCATAGGCCTTCCCTGCTTTATGTTTTCCAGGCCCATTTGACCTACAGTGTATGTGTGAGCTTCTGCATCTCCTCCAGTACGCATAGCTCCATGAGGTAGGGACTTCTGTCCATTCTGCTCCTTGCTGTAACCTTAGCACCGACAGTCGTGTCCAGCACATAGTAGAGCCTCAATAAATACTTACCGAATAAATGACTTCCTAATTGTTTCAGAGAAGTAATTCTTAGTCTCAAAACTCGTTTGAAAGCTCTTTGAGAGAGTGTCACGTGTGGCCTTTGCATGCCTTCCCAGCCCCCGGCTTCCGCCCTCCTCGGGCACAGGATAAAGCAGGGCAGGTGGGCATGCCGGTGACCTACAATCAGTATCTAGTGCCGGGTTCCTTCTGCCTCTTTGGCTGGGACTCTCTGCCCAGACGACTCGGGACAGAAGACACGCCGTGTTGGAAGCTTCCTGTGTCTCGATTGCGGTGGCCCCATGACCCTGTACACGTGTAAACCCCGTGAGGCTGTGTACTCGAGAGGCGTAGGTACTCCAATAATGCACCGTGTGTGTCTCGTGCCTCGGGAAACAAGAGTCCGTCCGTTCCCTGACTCCTCGAGAGGGAGGGAAGCACGCTAACTGGTGCGTTCAGATGAGGAGAGTTCCGCGTGCTCTTCCTTATTGAGAAGTTCTAGCTGAGCGGCTGAAATTTCTGTTCGGAATCCCAAGGGAGAGTAATTAAAACAATTTTTATTTACTTTGTCTTTTGCAGACATAACCGTAGCAGAGTTCCACAAAAAAATCAAAGACGCCTTTGAAGTGTTTGACCACGAGGCGAATAATACGGTGGATGTGAGGTTTGGACGTGTCTTCTTTGTTCTGATTCTAAATGACTGACACAACTCCTAAAATGGAAGAGGGGTCTTGTCTTTTTCCAGGTCTTGGATTTCTTACGCTGTTTAAAAGTGTTTATTTCCCTGTGCTCTGTGGAAGCCCTCTACCAGCTAGCGCTTTGGATCAATACTGTTTCCTGTTCTTTATAACCTGGTGAAAAGAACATCCACATTGCCCGCTGCAACCTCCGGACTGTCAGTTCTGTGAGTGAGGTGACCCCTGCTGTAGCATGATTGCTGCGCACATAGTTGGCGCTCGGTAACTATTGGTTGAGTCGAGTGAACGGAATTTGCTTTTAAAGTAAGTAGGTTTTGTGGGGCGCCTGGGTGGCTCAGTCGGTTGAGCGTCTGACTTTGGCTCAGGTCATGAGCTCACAGTTCGTGGGTTCGAGCCCCCCGTCAGGCTCTGTGCCGGCAGCTCGGAGCCTGGCACCTGCTTCGGATTCTGTGTCTCCCTCTCTCTCTGCCCCTTTTCCGCTCGTGCTCTGTCTCTCTCTGTCTCTCAAAAATGAATAAACATGAAAAAATTTTAAATAAAAAAATAAGTAGGTTTTGTGTGATCGAGCCAGAAATTACAAAGAAAGATTAATAATACTTGAACAGTGATACGCTCCCCAAGTCAAGTAACGAAAAGAACCCAAACAGAAGAACATACAAAGAGGAGAGAGAGACATGAATACTGCTAGATCGGGAATGGAGGACAGGAGACAATAGTTTGAGACCAGAAAGGAAACAAAGCAAAACAAAAAGGCAGAAGAGACTGTCCACGAGAACAGCAGAGGCTGTGGGATCCAGGCCACGGACATCCCAGGGAGGCCATGGACCTTCCTTCCAGGAGACCGAGCCGAACGAGGAACGTGTGGGGGGATCACAGTCTCGAAACTCAGAAGCGAGGACACAGAGGCCAGCGAAGCAGCGGGAAGTGGCGGAAGGGCTAGTCGGGGGACTCAGTGCTTTAAAGGAGCCACACCGGCGGAACCACCGCATGCGATTTTATTTTGTTGGCCACACGTTGTAACTGTGTGTATTGTATAGTGTCTTCATCCCTGAAGGCACAGGTGTGACTGTAGGAGAGGAGACTGAGAGGGGGCGGTGCCGTTCATTACTTTATAAAGTTGACTTTTCTCCCTCCACCGTGTTTCTGGGCCTTGAAGCAGGCGATAGATAAGGTTGGGAATTCCGTTCCAGAACCACCAGCGCCGTTGGCCTTGTGTGAGCCTTGGCTCAGCTGTTGCTGAGGATGTGTGTGGCTTCACGTGGCTTCAGATGCTCTGGCCACAGCGCGGGCCACACGGGTGCCACTTGGGGGGGGCACTTTATCCTCAGGGTGGGTATATCATAGGAGGAAGACATCCGGTGGGGCGGTCGTGCCGGTGACAGGGTTTGGGATGAGGTGGGGAGCATGTGGCATGAACGACTCAATCCAAAGATGGCTCTTGCCTTCGCCTCAGACCTCTGGCTGAGGCTGGAAGGTTCGCCAGGGGCCAGGGGACAGAGGTAGTGTTAGAGAGGTCAGGGAGAGCCAGAGGAAGACCAGGGGAGCAGAGAAGAGAAACCAGTATTTGCTTGAGGCTTGTGTCTGACAGGTGACCTGTCGTTGGGTGTGGGGGGCTTCAGGGACCTTCCCTCATCTCAGTCTTTTTACTTGTGTGGCAAGAGTTGGCATCTGTAGGGGCGCCTGGGTGGCTTAGTCCGTTGAGCGTCCGGCTTCGGCTCAGGTCATGATCTCGTGGTTTGTGAGTTCGAGCCCTGCATCGGGCTCTGTGCTGACAGCTCAGAGCCTCGGGTCTGCTTTGGATTCTGTCTCCTTCCCTCTCTGCCCCTCCCCACGTGTGCTCTGTTTCTCTGTCTCTCAAAAGTAAACAAATGTAAAAAAATTAAAAAAAAAAAACAATTACAAAAAAAGAATTAAAAAAAAAACACAACAAGACATGGAAACAACCTAAGTGTTCATCGATGCATGGAGGGATAAAGAAGTTGCGGTATAGATATACAATAGAATATTATTCGGCCATAAAAATGAGGAAATCCTGCTGTTGGTGACAGCATCATTGAATCCTGAGGGAATTATGCTCATGAAATAAGTCAGGGAAACACAAAGACCGTGTGATTTCACGTATAGGTGGGATCTAAAATGCGAACAAATAAAAAAACAAACTCAGGAAAGGAGACCAGGACACTGGTTACTGGACCAGTGGTTACTGGACATGGGGATGGGGGAGGGGAGCCGGAGGAAGCTGGTCGCGAGGTGCAAACCTCTAGTTACGTGGTAAGCACCAGGATGTGATGTCCCACAGGATGGGTACAGCTAACGCTACTGGGTGGTTTGTAGGGAAGAGGTGAGGAACGTCAATCCTGAGTTCCCATCACAAGGAGGCCTTTTCTTTCCTTTTCTGTTCTTTTCTTTCTATTGTGTCTGCATAAGAGGCCGGATGTAGGTTGGACCTGTTGTGGTCACCGTGTCCCAATGTACGTAACTCGGACCGTCATGCTGCAGGCCTTACGCTTACACAGTGACATCTGTCCATTGTTCCTCAATAAAACTGGGGGAGAAAAGAATTGAAGGCAGAAGTCTATGTAAAGAATAGCGTAGGGAAGCATCTGACAGAGAGTCCAGAGATGTAGCTAAGGGCTCGGTTTGGGCGGGAGAGAGCTGTTGCTGGAGAGGCTCCCAGGACACTTAGCTGTGTCTCTCCTACAGTGTAAGTATGGTGCCATTTTCTTGGTAGGGCAGCCCTGGGCCCCCTTAGGATGAGTTTTGGGGCAATTACTCTCCTTTCTCCTCCCCTCTGCTTTGCACGAATTGAGAGATTGAATTTGAAATTGTACCGCCGTGTAAAACGTCATGAAATGGGCCTCTGCTGCTTTCCTCCCGGTCCGAGGGGCAACCCCAGGTCCGGAATCAGACTGCCGGGGCTCCACTCCCAGCCCTGTGACTGAGGAACTTACTTATTCTCTCTATTCACTTTGGCCTCAGAGGAAGGATCCTTTCAGGGGCCTGGGAGGTCTTAACTATTTTTATAGTAACTTTAAGACAGTATTTGCTATTTTCATTCTCAATTTTTCACAAGTATATGTTGGAGGTTTTGAAAAGCTACATGATGTGTGATATTGCAACAGATTGAATGCAGAACCAGATATGAGAATCCAGCTGTCTTCTGTGAAGCCCGACAGCAGGGAGATTTGCAAACATGGAAAACGGTGCCGTTCTTCTAACTCAGTTTGTTCTTGTTTGGAAAATGCACTTACTTTTCATAAAATTACATACACTTGCACTGGATTTATTTATCGTTATTTCTAAATGAATATTTTAAAATATTTAAAAAAGATTTCTAAGGGTGCCTGGGTGGCTCAGTCGGTTAAGCATCTGACTTCAGCTCAGGTCATGATCTCACGGTTCGTGAGTTCGAGCCCCGCGTCGGGCTCTGTGCTGACGGCTCGGAGTCTGGAGCCTGCTTCGGATGCTGTGTCTCCCCCTCTCTGTGCCTCTCCCCTGCTCACACTCTGTCTCCCTCTCTCTTTCAAAAATAAATAAACATTAAATTTTTTTAAAATTATTAAAATAAAACAAAAAAGTAAAAAAGATTTTTAAGTGAATATTTAAAATATTTTTTAAGTTCTTTATTTATTTTGAGAGAGAGCATGTGCAGGGGAGGGGCAGAGAGAGAGGGAGAGAGAGAATCCTAAGCAGGCTCCGTGCTGTCAGGGCAGAGCCCGTTGCGGGGCTTGATCTCACGAACCGTGAGATATGACCTGAGCTGAAATCAAGAGCTGGATGCCTAACTGACTGAGCTCCCCAGGCACCCCTACATTTTTTGAGGTTTAATTTCTAATATGGTAATAGAGATAAATATAACTCACATAAGGAAAAGCTCTCTGGGGATCTCTATAATTTTTAAGAATGCAAAACACATTGTGAAACCAGAAAATTTGAGAACCAATGTTGTCAGTGGTCATTTTTTTAAAGCTTTTAGAACAATATTAGCTCAGAACAAACTAGCTATTATTAATAGTATTACATTATTAGTAGTAGCTTTAGTAGTAGTATTATACTTTAGGACAATATAATTAGTAGTATTATACTTTGTATTATTGAAGTAAATAATTTAAAGTAGTTTTTCCTCTGTTTGCTCTGGATTAGCAATTATACATAAGAAACCTCTCATAAGAATTGTTTTACTTATTTCTGTGCATTGTGTGTTGAGTTTTTAAGTTCTGAAGTTCATTTTCCTTATTAGTTTTTGAAAGTTGGCACCTTGAAAACCATTGAGGCAGATTTTTTTTTTTTCAACGCTTATTTATTTTTTTTGGGACAGAGAGAGACAGAGCATGTGAATGGGGTGGAGGGGGCAGAGAGAGAGGGGAGACACAATAATCGAAAGTAGGCTCCAGCTCTGAGCCATCAGCCCAGAGCTCCATCGGGCTCTCGAATCACAGACCGTGAGATCGATCTGGCTAGTCGCACGCTTAACCGGTTTTGCCACCTGCCCAGGCTTCCAGGTGCAGATTTTTTTAATATCACACTAAATATTTAATTTTGCCTCATATAAAACATAGAGCATGATACATTGTGACTTAAGTACATTTTCCTGTTCTTAGGAAATTAGATTTCAATCAGTAAGACTGATTGGGAACCAAATTTTTGTATAGATGAGATACAGACAAGGGATAAAATTCAAAAGGTACAAAGAATAGTATAGGCACGTCTTTCTACCTCTAACTCCGGCTAACCAGTTCCTCTTTTTATTTATTTTAAAGTTTTTTAATGTTTATTTTTGAGAGAGAGAGTGAGACAGAGTGTAAACAGGGGAGGGGCAGAGAGAGAGGGAGACACAGAATTGGAAGCAGGCCTGGTGTTCGGGAGCCAAAGCACAGAGCCCAACGCGGGATCCAAACCACAAACGGTGAGATTGTGACCTGAGCCGAGGTCAGACGTTCAGCCGACTGAGCCACCCAGGTGCCCC